GGAAGCTTCCAGGCAAGAGCCTGGAAGTTTCCCTGTAGGGAAACAGGCTGGGGCCTGTAGGCCCTGTCAGAAGGAAGCTTCCAGGCAAGAGCCTGGAAGTTTCCCTGTAGGGAAACAGGCTGGAGGTCCGGGACGGGCCCTGCAGGGCCCGTGTGGCTGCATAGTATGCCACACTAGCCTTGGCCAACGCCTGAAGTGGGGAAGGCAACGTTACCACTTCAGCACGAGTAAGAGCGGCTAACACTCCTACTGGCCCGAGGTGTTTCCCTGTGAGCTGCTCGCAGAAGCACTCCCAGGATTCGAAGATAAGCTCACCACCGTTGGTGAGGATACCTTCGTGGTGACCTTCTTGCCGCGGCAAGTCCTGGACGTGTGACCATAGTGGCCACGGTTCCTGCATGTACCCCTAGCAACGAGGTCACGCCAAACCTCGTAATCTAAACCAATCTTCACCCATGCGGGTGTCCCTTGGTCGCCCTGACCCGTGGACCGTACTACCTTCTTCTTCCCGGTCCCCCTAGCCTTTTCTTTGATGAGCGCCACGACTCCACCATCTGAAGTCTCACTAGCCCCATCCTGCTCTGTCAACTCCCCAAGGTCTGGGAAATCGTCAATCTCGGTTGTTTGACCATCGTGGTCAACAAACATTAACTGACCCTTCTTCTTCCAGTTTTGGGGCAGTCTCTTCCTACCATCATGAGATGCCTTATGCGCAGATCCCATCTTTGCCTCTATGTCCAGAGCTTTCTTACTAAAAGTAGTGAAGGTGTGCTGTTCGACATAGGCTTCATCAACCAGCTTGGTCCTTACCTCTGCAGGTAGGCACCTTCGGTAATCCGTCAGGAGAACCTGCTTGTCAAAGCGCACACCAAGCACCACGAGTAGACGCTCTACGGTATCCGTGAGCTCTCTAACATCCTTAAACCTACGGGCACAAAGATTGTTCATAGCATCGGTGGCCTTTTGAGCCCCTTGCGGGTCATGCCACCTGTTGTAGATGGACCGTATGAACTGTTCCAATGTCTGGGCCTGAGCCCAGACATCGAAATCCTGACCGTGGCCCTGTTGCTGCACTAGGCCATTCAACCAGCAGGCTGCTGACCCCTCTAGAAAGGAGGCAGCCACAACAACTTCTTGCTCTAGACTTGTGAGCTTGTGCCTCACATAAGTAGGCACAGTCCTCACCCAGGTGTCTAAGTCTTCTTCCTTCTTCCTGTCACCAGAGAAGGGCTTGGGACTCATCAAAGGTATCTTGGGCATCCACTGCATAGGCTGCATGGGCCCAGGTGCTCGCTGCAGCGGCTGCATAGCCACTGAGACAGGCTGTTGCACACTAACATGGGCCTGGCTTGACAGTGGGACTATAGTGACCACTGTTGTAGATGGTACGGATGAGACTCTTTGAACCGGACCACTAGCTACTCCTACACCACCAGGAGGGGGCATGCCAAACATAGGAGAAAAGGGTTGTCCCGTGGGTCGCGGCATCGTTGAAGGACCCGCGCCTGCAGGGGGAACTACAACAAACTATGGCTGCCTCATCACTGGACGAGGAGCCTGGGGTGCATCCAGAATTCGTTTCTGGCCTGCCACTAGATCAGTCAGCAGTTCCTGTTGAACTGTCTGCGCTTCTGCTATAGATAGGACAGCATTACGCAGCACACGTCCAACAGGCTCTAATGTCGCCTCATCTAGGTCCTCTAGTCTGCCTAGTGCCTCTACCCAACTCTCTAATCTGACCTTCCTCATGATTGCTTTTCTTCTCCTCTCTGATGCTTCGTCCAACTGTCGCCGTAACTCATCCTGAAGTTCTTCTGCCAATTGGATTTCTATGTCCTCATGTGTGAGTGGAACCTGTTGGCTGACTTGCAAGCCAACAGACTGACTAATTGCACCCGACCCACCCTGTCCAGCTCCTGACGAAGAAGACTGGGAGGTGGACTGCGATGTCGAAGAGATGGTAGCCATTGCAGCCGCTAAGCTGGCTGCTGCGTCCCTATTCCTCCTAGCCGCTGCCCTCTCCTAGCTTCCCTTCGTAGCCTCCTCTCCTCTCCTGGTCCTAACTCCAAGAAAGTCAAAGGTTGACTAAGAGCGGTTCTCCGTGTGGTCCTAATGGGTTGCACTAGCCTTTGCTCCTCCTCGCTGTTGTCTTCACTCATGAGCTACGGTGTGTGTGATCTAAACTAGAACTCACACTGAATCCTACCTTAGCGTGACACACAACCGCCTGTGATATACAACTATTATCGGTCGGCTGGAACAAATACAATTAGGTGATATAGTCACAACTAATGTCAGGTCCTACAGGATATATCACATCTATTTTTAGATTAGTCTAATACAGATCGCCTTAAAATAAAGAGTCTAGTCTGTCTGTAGCTGTCTGTCAATTGTCAGCAAAGTCTGTAACAACTAACTAATCAAAGATAGAAATAACATCTCCTGCTGGAGATGTATGCTTGATGGCAGATTGTCTGTTGATTGCCACCGCGAACAGTTACCGGAATCCCCCCTCCCCCTGTATCCTTCTTGAGTGGTCACTTTGTGTCAACGTCCTGAGCATCTGGTTGAGCAGCGTGTCTGAAGGTGTGCAATCCAGCCCACCCATGTGCCCCAAGTCAACGCCGAACATGCCAGCCCCTGCACTTTATTTACACTCGCATGCAACGAGCCTTACACCCGGTTGATCTGGCTGATCAGGAGGGATTTAAGGAGAGCCCCCATCTCCTCACGAATTATTTAACGTCGCAGACAAGACGACGATCACAGCCAGATTCAAATCCGAGTCACCAGCCAGAAATGTTTAAAGACGGTCTGGAAAGCGTCTGTCCCAAAGGGCTGGCATGCCCTGCATAACCTCTATTGCGCAAGCAGCAGAACCAAGGACTTGCGGCAAAGCATGCGTGTACTAGTCCCAGCGGGTTGGCATGGTGACCGTGACCCGAGTGCTTCGTCCAGGGCCCTTCAGAGGCTTCGCCCGTCTCCCACCAGCTTGCTGCCTAGGAAGAATGTCGGCTCTCAAGGTTGAGCGCTCGCGACACCTCACATCGAGAGGACTCTCAAGACAGAACTCACTTCCTCACGGTAAGAAGTAACGAAGAGGGTAGATAAGGAAGAGAGCAACGTACCTCATAAATGCTGCCCCCAACCACAGATTTCTCACCGGCAACCTGATGTGCACTCATGATGACCGGTCTTTGCCTCGGCACAACCAACAGCAGCATGTGGTTCCACCTCGGCTTAATATGCCACATCAGCGAGCTCTCATCATCCAGCATACATCCCGTATGTCACCACATAGCTCCCTGCCGCGCCCACTCTACCCTGGGCCGCCCAATGTTCAACGCCAATGCCTTATCACTGCCCCACACCTCATGCGAAGCACCAATAGCTATTGCGAAGAACCAATGAAGCGCAATATGAACCAGCTCCGATACCAAATTGCAAGGAAAATAAGCAACAGCGAGATGACAAATCCAGATTACACCATCACATTAAAAGCCAGATAGTCACACTGTGTCCAGAGAGTAGCATTGC